TATATATAAGTTAATCGCATAATATCTATCTGTATATGATGTATTCTTCAACGATTCGATTTATTTAACAAAAAAAGAAAGAGAGAGGGAGAGAAAGAGAGAGAGAGAGAGAGAGAATGAGAAAGTGAAATAAAGAGAAAGAAGGGGAGAGATAGAGAGTGAGAGAGAAAAGTATGAAACGATCGATGACACCGATTCTTCGTATTATAAAACGAAATCCCATTATCGAAGGATGGCCGATCGATCATTAGGATTTTAGCTATGGTAGTAGTAACGTAACGAAGCACCAATGAAAAGTGATCTTCGTCGTTGGACGGTAAACACAAAAGGCGAGAGTGAAGTGCGTAGAATTTTCAAGAGGGGTTGGAGTGGCTTGTAGAATGATGGAGAGGGCGGAATAGGAAGGAGGAGGTGGATGTTGAAGAGAGAGAGAGAGAGAGAAAGAAAAAGAGGGATCTATAGAGATAACCGATAATAACAAAAGTCGAATTTTCAGGGTGGTCTTTTCAAAGTGTTCAGAGGGTGTGTGTTTCCGCGCGCGCGCGCGTGGGAGCAAATATAGAAAGATCCCCAAACGTAATCTGTATAATCGTGCTAACCTAACGTCTCTAGTATAGTCATCGATCATACTTCCGACAATAAAGTTAATATCATTTCTGCGGAGAGCAATATGGCCGTCATGAGATTGACCGTCGTCCAACGTAAATCTAGAAGCAAATCTTCCTCTCTCTCTCTCTCTCTCTCTCTCTCTCTCTCTCACTCTCTCTCCCCCTACCTCGCACCTTATCACCATCCTCACCTCTCACCCCCCACTCACCGTTCCATCGTTAGTATCGCCTCAACGATATTTGTTTGTTTTGCGTGAATATGATGAAACCTCGCACGGATTTTTTTCCCATCCTTCGTGTTTTTTCTTCTCCTTTTTCTTTTTTCTTTCTTTCTTTCTCTTTTCTTTTTTTTTTTTTTTTTTTTTTTGTTTCTTTCTTATTTTTTATTTTTTTTTTACCCCTCTGTTTCTTACACGTGTACGAGAAGAAGTGGAAGAAAATCTGATATCGAATCATTCCGACGATGATTAGGAGACGACTCGTTCTTTCTCTTTTTGTTTCTTTTTTTTGTTTTGTTTTTTCTTTTTATTTTCTTCTTTTTTTTTGTTTTCTGAAGCAAAAGGAAAAAAGGCGTTGTCACGTTGACACATATAAAGTGGCAAGAACAAACGAGTGATCGAATCGACGTATTGAAATCTTTCGTTCGTTTAAAATTAGGTTGGTATCATTGCTTCGTATACGATAGATCTAATTTGACTTATTCTTCGCCCTCCCCTTGTTCTCTCTCTCTCTCTCTCTCCCTTTTTTATTTTATTTTTTTTTTTCGTCCTTTTTTGCTTTCAATCGTTTCCAAGGATCATCGTCGTATCACCGCCCCTTGACGAAATCCATCCTAATCGATCCCATTCGTTCATAGGTAAGATACCTACTCTACGTAACTCTCTCACTCTCTCTCTCTCTCTCTCTCTCTCTCTCTCTTTCTCTCTTTTCACTTTCTATACACACAAATCAATTTCCCCTTTCCACGTGGTTATAACCGAAAGGTATGGAAGTAAAAAAAGGGTGTGCGATCGTTAGAGATGAATACATGTCGTCGTCATTGTTGGGTTTCTTAATTTTTCCTTTCTTTACCTTTTTTTTTCTTTTTTTTTATTTTTTCTCTTTTTTTTTGTTTTTTTTTTTTTTTGTTTAAAGAAACAAAAAATTTCTTTTCGTTCGTATTGCTTCTCTCTTCTTCGATTCTTCTTCTTGTTCGTTCTCATTGTTCCTTTTTCTATTTTTTCGTTGTTGTTTCTTCTGTTTTTTTTTTTTTTTTTTTTTTTCTTTTCTTTTCCTATCCTTCCATCAATATTATCCTACACGATATCGTAACAAAATGCGCGGACACAGAATCGTAAGTCGTCGTAAACACCAAACACAATGTTGTTCTCACACAGAACGTAACAGCCAGTTAATTTCTTTCACCTTTCTTTTCTTTCATAAAGGACTTCGTGGACTGATTTACGAGCAAACGTTCGAACTTTCCTTAGCATTAGATTTCGATCGAGAGAAGTTGTCTTCGCCGATCGTTAATTTATTATAGTCATGATATTTACGATCGTTACCATTCAATACGTAAAGAACTATCTGCTTGGTAGCACGTTGGTAGAACTATCTGGCAATAGCAACACTAGTATAAAATAGTAGCGACGATAAGATTAGTCTGAACCAACGTTAAGCAAGGAAGAGAGAGGGAGAGAGAGACAGAAAGAAATAGATAGATAGAGGGAGAGAGAGAGAGAGAGAGAGAGAGAGAGAGAGAGAGGAGACGCTCGCTTGAACTTACCACGATGAAATACCAAGAAATAAGATAACGTCGTAATAACGATAAGAATTTTTCATATCAATTCAAAATTTAGGAAGTAGATACTTAAATGTATACGTAAAAGTATCCATCTTACCTAAATATGTACATACAAGACTATCGAATTTAAAAGTTATATTTATCCGAACGATTTCTCCCTCCCCCGTGCCTGTCACTTATCCAAGAACAAAAAAAGGAAAGAAAAAAAAAAGCAAAAAAAAGAAAAAGAAAGAATAATCATTGATTTTCACTCATCTAATTTTCAATTCTTCACTTACCTTTGCCACTACCCCTCCACCTCTACCCACCCCTCATATCAGCATCTCCCTTTTTTTTTTCTTTTTTCTCTTTTTCTTTTTTTCTTTTTTCCCTCTCCGCGTAGTTCGCGCTCGCGAGCACGCAAACAATGGCTTCGTTAACGCCGGAACATTTCGAGCCGAAGCTAAACAAGATTTATATTTAAGACGGAGAGTAAACAGTTTCCTACGTACTACGTACGAAGTACCAACAAAAATACGGACGAATAAAGCTTCAAGGATTACGCCTACGTTTATATGTGTGTATGTGCGTGTCTATCTCTCTGTGTGTATATTATATACACGTGTTATACATATATATATAAAAAGTGTATACATATATATATATATATATACACGTAGGTAGATATATAAACATGTATATACGTTTACCCGTAGTTACGTTAGAGTGTACGAGCTCTTTCGCGAATCGCGTTTGATTTTTGCTCTCCTGCATTGCTGTTCGCCGGTCTGGAAGAAAAGCCTTTAGAGAGTTTTTCCGCCTGGGAAAGTCACCCCGAATATTCTGCGTCCCTGAAGCAGAAGATAGGCCCTATCCAATCCACTCTTTCATTTCCGTGATTGCTGTTTTAAATAATTGCATATCTATACCTCTTATATTCCTATATCGATTTATCTATCTATCTATCTATCTATCTATCTATTCATCCATCTATCTAACTATCTCTTGCTCTCTTACTGTGTTAATCGTAAAAACCCAATACTGCGTGTCCGTTTCGTTGGTCCGGCTCGTTTGTAGAAAATACTTCGAACGCTCTCTGATCCCTACTAGCCCTTTTTTATCTTTGAATTTTTTTTTCTTTTTTCTCTTTTTTCTTTTTTTTTTTTACAAACTTCACCTTTTAAACATCGAATCTCTTTTCCATCCCACTTGCCCCCCCCCCATGGTCTTCGATAAATCCCGATTTTTAATTAACTCGTATCGAGTAAAGAGCTTTCACGTTTGGCTTTGCCAAAAAAATTTCAAGAGAGAGAGAGAGAGAGAGAGAGAGAGAAAGAGAGAATTGAACATCGAAAGAAAAGAGACAAAGAGAGAAAGAGAGAGATGAAGAAATTTACGTTCTGATAGTTTTCAACGAATGGAACTTGATGTATATTTTATATACATTGCTTTAGCTCTAATCAAAATTCATTGGAAATATACGATCGACAATTTACGGTCTCTCTTTATCTCTATCTATCTATCTATCTATCTATCTGTCTACCTCTCTCTCTCTCTCTCTCTCTCTCTCTTAATTTTTCTTCCGTGACTTTGACACCGTCATGCAAACAGGTGCCACCATGTTCCAAGGTATCTAAATTGAAAACGGCAAATGTATGATTGTCTCCGTCGTAAAACTCTATTCCAATGTGACAGCCGAGCCATATTTATTTTCTTAACACGGAAATACGCCAAAGGAGGAGAAAAATTCATTTTTTTTTTTTTAACTTCCTCCTCCAATCCCCTCTCCATCCCACGCAACCCACCCACCCTCGACCCGTTAAGAAAGATTGCTTCTTTTTTTTTCACTTTGACAAAGGGATAAAGGAGAGTGAAGGTAGAGATTCGATTAAAAAATTCGTCGATCCGTGTCCTTCATAACGAGTTTCCTTTTTAACGCCCTTCGCAAAAATCCAAGGAGCCATTGGAAATTGGAAGCTCTTCTCTCTTTTTTGGCCGATAGAAGGGACTTTTTATTGGGTATTTTTTAACGAGAGCTCCCTCCAATTCCACCCCAACCACCTTCTTCCCCCTCATATCCACATTGCCGACGGGAAAAATATCATATTTCGCTAAAGGCGGCCCATTGCTCTCCTTTCCTCTTCCAACGTTCTCGTCCCTCTATATTTTCTTTTTACCTTTCTTTCTTTCTTTCTTTCTTTCCTTCTTTCTTTCTTTTTTTTCTTCATTTTTCCTTTTCCTTTTTCTCTTTTTCTTTTTTCCTTCTCTTCTTGTCTCTCCTTCCCCTCCCCCGCCCCTCCCTTCATTGCTTTAAATCCCCTCGAAGAGCAACGAGGACTTTTGAATCGATCGATCGCTTCTTCTTTCATATTCTATCTCTCTCTCTCTCTCTCTCTATCTCTCTCTATCTCTTTCCTTCTCATTCTATACTCGATCACCCTCCATTGTTTCCACGACCTTTTGCGCGACCCCGTACGATGACGAAAAATTTGAGGAAAAATTTACATTCCACCCCTGGCACGTTCTATCTCGCTCACGCGTACATACATCCATATACTTACTTATATAGACACACACACACACACACACACACACATATATATATATATACTAATGTAAAACATAGTTACATAAAATTCTCTATAAGCTCTATCCGAGTCGTGGAAAGTTGAGAGGACGGTGGTACGCTCGTCTTATTTTCCTGGCGAAGGGATCACAAATCCAAAGCCGTTGTCGCCTTCCACCTTCTTCCTTCTGAAGTGAGGAGAAAAAAAAAATATATATATATATATATATATATATATATATATATATATATATGTAGAAGAAGAAGAAGAAGGAAGGGAAGAGAATCGAGGAGCAGAGTAAGAAAAGAGAAGAATAGTAAGGAAAAATAAGCGATCTACGAAGGGGGATGTTGGTTGATCGAGAACGACGAAGGATGAGGAATGGAAGGAGGTACTGGTGGAGGAGGAAAGAGAAGGAGAAGGAGATGGAGGAGGAGGAGGTGGAGATATCACGCGGTGGCGGCTGTCGTGATTCGTGCGAACCGGCCCTTACGATTCGAAATCGTTCGGGAGAAGCGGCCAGGAGAGACAACAACGACGCGAAGTGGAATGAAGGAAAGAAAGGAGAGAATAAGATAGACAAAAAGAGAGAAAGATAGAAAAAGAGAGAGAGAGAGAGAGAGAGAGACGAAGAGACGGATAAAGAAGGGAGACCAAGAAATAAAGAAAGAGAGATGGAATGAGAGAAAGAGAGGCCTCGAAGCCCGGAGTGCTAAGCCCAATGCGAGAGAGTGGCCAGGCTAAAGCCAAGGCAGAAAGAAAGGTTTTATCTGCTCGCAGTTATTTATCGCTTTCCGTTGTAGCGCTGGCGTCGGGGCACGACCAATCAGAAGTCAGTATCCCCGGGTACCAGTCCGCGCCATCCGCATACATTATCGTGCGGAGCCTCGGCCATTGTCTTTCCACCGTTGTAAATCACATTTTATTCCCTCGCTTACGGTTTCGTTTTATTTATTTGTCGGAGAAACGTATCGCTACCGTACTCGCTGCCAACGCGAGATACACACGTATCGAGGAGAGGCGTGCACGTACTTACATATACCTACCTATATTTATATATATATATATATATATATATATATATATATATATGTATGTATGTATGTATATATATATATTACGTAGATACGTTTGTATGAGAGAAGGAACGTGGTAATACGCACGAGACTGTGTTCGAAAAGTCCAGCTTCGCCTCTCTCGACCACAAAACGTGTGAGGGTTCGAGGAGATGTAGAATGAGGTGGACGAGAAGTAGAAGGAGGAGGAGAAAGAGGAGAAGAAGTAAGAGGTGGAGGAGGAAGAGGTTGAGTAGGGTAGGGTAGTTTCTCCTGCAACTTCAGGATCAGAATTCAACGGGTTAGATTTTTATTCTATTCACGGAGACTGCGAACGTCCCACTTTGATATCAACGAATTTTCTTTAAACCACGAGAGATTTCAATGCGACGACAGGCGATCAATCCTTCTCACATTAATAATCCTTCACTCGTAAATCTCGTTCTAATTGATCATCCCACGTAAGAATTGTTTCCTTAGAAATAATTTAACTTTACGAATTAATAATTTCGTTGACATATTTTTTCCCCCCGTTCCGCCTCGCCCTTCAACCTCGCCATTTGGACGCGCAAGTTCTTTTCCTTTTTTCCTTTTTGTCTTCCTTTTTTCTCGCCCTCTTTCTTTTCTTTTTTTTTTTTTTTTTTTTTTAATAACGTCGACGTCAATCAGAAGAAGAAGAAGAAGAAGAAAAAAATTGCGGCGAGATTTAAGAGAAAAAGAAAGAAAAAAAATGGGGGCTGGGGAAGGGAGGGAAGAAAGGAAGAGAAGAAAATGCACGCACTCTTTTTGAAAAACTTTCTATGAACGTTTTAATGAAACGATCCGTATGTTTGCCGAGAATTAAATTAAGGGAGAAAGTTTTTTTCTTTTCTTTTCTGTTTTTTCTTTCAATTACGAAAAACAAAAAGGAGAAAAAAGAAAGAAAAGAGAAAAAAAAAAGAAGAAAAAAAAAAGAAAAACAGACAAAAAGTTGAAAATGCGATCTCAAAGATATTCGTCGAATTAATGATAATCACTCGGTAAACGTTAGTGGAAGTGAAGTTTTAAAGAGACAAAGAAAAACGAAAAGAGACGCGTATAGGCGCTCTAGCGCTACCGTACGAATGAGACGCTACGATGATTGGTGCTTACGAACGTGAATGCACTTTATTAAAGCCGCGGCGCAAGGAGAAGAACGCCGCCATTCGTACGCGGTTCTTCTCTTCGTGCCAAGTCTTAATTATACCTTACGACGTTGTATACTGACACTTAACTGCTGCGTTGCCATTCGAACGAAACCGTCCTATCTTTTCTCTCTTTCTTATTACTTCCTTTTACGTTCTTTTTCTTTCTTCTTTTTCGCAAGGTCAAAGGTTATCCGAGGATACCGACCGTATAGGGGAGAACGAGTGGAAGAGAGAGAGAGAGAGAGAGAGAGAGAGAGAGAGAGAGAAAGAATAGAAGACCAAAAAGAAAAAAGGAAACGTAAAAATGACAGAAAAAATATAAAAAATAATAGAACTGTGTTAGACGTCCCCCGCCACCGCCCCCGCTCCTGCTCCCCCATAACCGCTCCAAACCCCTTTCACCCATTTACTTCTAGACGATCAAAACCAATAACTTGTGTTGCATTAAAAATAAACTGTGCGGAAAAAATAGCAGTACACATAAGCAATCATAGTCCTTTCTCATTCGAATTTTTTAACTTTTTATAGATCATGTTGGATCTTGATCTCGATCATTCGATGACGATTTCTTTCTTTTACTTTTTTTTTGTTTTGTTTTATTTTTTATTTATTCTTTTTTCTTCTTCTTTCTTCCTTTATTTCTTTCTTTCTTTTCCATTTTCACGTTCGAAGTAGAGATGAAAACTATTCTATGAAATATATCTTCTCGTTCGATCATCTAATGATTAATCTCACGTAGGATGATATTTAGATTATAGTCATATATATATATATATATATATGCATCCATTTGAATAAAAATAATCAAAATCAAACGAATGAAGTCCGTTCCGTTTGAACTTTAAGGAGTAATCGTATTTTGCGAAAATAAAAAAAATCGAAAATAGGACGTACGGGGTTGAGAAGATCGACGATCGGAATAAAAGTAAAGGTTTCGGAGAAGGGAATATATTAGAATAGAATTAAAATGGAATTTTCTTTTTTTTTTTTTTATAGGAATATCAAGGACTGAAAACGATCGAATGCGTTATTTATGATATAAATCATATACACATATTTATATATATATATATATATTTTTTTCTTTTTTTTTTTTAATTTTTCGTTTCTTTTGAAAATCTCAAAATTGCAATAAATTTTGTTCACAAAGGAAATCCAGTTTACGTGGAAGTAATCATAAACGTGACAACGTTGCAGCAATACAAGAGAGAGAAAGAGAGAGAGAAAGAGAAAGAGAGAGAGAGAGAGAGAAAGAAAGAGAGAGAGAGAGAGAGAGAGAGAGAGAGAGAGAGAGAGAGCAAGCAAGCAAGCCTTCCTCTCCGGTAAGTCCGCTCGGCAATTACGAATTTGTAGCACGAGCCAGGATGGCGCTTTTATGAGCGAGCAGAGGAGGTAGGCGAGGAAAGTGAGTAAAAGAGAGAAAGAGAGAGAGAGAGAGAGAGAGAGAGAATAAGAGCATGTTGTTCGAGTTGTTGCTGCAGCGTCGTCGTCAAATTTTTGCTAGAGTGCATAGCCGTAATATTATTGAGTATAGTAACTACTCTAGTTATATATATATTTATAGACACACATATTTACATATATATATATATATATATATATATATATATATATATATGTGTAGGTATCATAGAACTTTCTGTATCCATAACGATCAAAAGAATACGTAGATGGTTGTAAAAGAATTCTACAAGTTGATGTTGGAGGCGTCGAGTTCTGAAGTGAGACAAAAAGAGAGAGAGAGAGAGAGAAAGAGAGAGAGAGAAAGGGAGATAGAGAGAGAGAGAGAGAGAGAGAGAGTTTGGCCTGTCGTCTCGTTTATTTTTACGAACGAAGAATATAAAATACGATCATAATCTCTTTTGCGAGATATACGATTACTGGCGTGACCTTTTTCTTTCTTTCTTTCTTTCTTTCTTTCTTTCTTTCTTTCTTTCTTTCTTCTTTTCTTTCTTTCTTTCTTTCTCCCTTCCTTTTTTCCACATCTTTTTCTTTCATTCATACATTTTTCTTATCTTTTTCTTTTTCCTTGCATTCGTTCCTTCTTTCTCTCTATTTGTTCGTACTATGTCGTTTTTTTATTTATTTTATTTCATTTTATTTTATTTTATTTTATTTTATTTTATTTTATTTTATTTTATTTTATTTTATTTATTTAAACAAATACATCGAGTAGCTTCCAAATACGTAAATTTTCTTGACCAAAGGCGCGAATACAATTTCAAATTTCCATCTCGTAAAGGGGAAATGAGAAAGGAGAAAAGAAAAGAAAAGAAAAGAAAAGAAAAAACCAAGAAAAATAAAAAAAGAAAAAGAGAAGCAAAAAAAAAAAACAAAAAAAAACAAAAAAAAAATAAAAAACAAAGTAAAAAAGAAAAAAAATAATTACCGTAAAAATCAAGTTAGACGGAATAAAACACCAAATGCTTGTGATAGTTTCAGCGGTGCAAGTAGACCATGCAGGCCAGGCTCTCTCCCAGCCTCAGTCGCGTCCTGGCCATCAACAGGTCAGTAACAAAAGACTAATCATATTTCTAAAGCGTCTAACTAGCGTGTAACGAGCAGAGGAAGATTAGGTATAATAAAACGTGTCGAGTACCTACCTACGTTAGGTTATATGTGAACGTGATATACATACAGATATAAATATGTATGTATGTATATATATTACGTACATATATATATATATATATATATATATATATAACGGTTAACTATTAAATAAAATGTGTGCGATCAACTTCTTAAGAAAAGAATTATTATTATTTCCCAAAGGGAATATTAATCGAGGTCACGTCGATCTCGAATAAATTAGTTTTTAATTTTATCTAAGATACTCACGAAAGAGGGAAAAAAAGGTAATGGAGGATCGACGATTAACGTGCATAATTAAACTATAGACGGAAGGATTCGTGCAACAACGAAAAGACCAAAGACACGAAAGGAACGTGATTAAAGTCTCTCTA